AGAACAGGAAGCAGAGAACAGGGAATGCTAACATGCCCAGCTTTCTCCTCTTTCCCTTTTTGTTCAGTTCAGGACCTTAGTTCATGGGAAGTCCCACCCACTTGGTCACAAGTCTTCTCCACTCAGTTCATCCTCCCTGAAAAAGATCTCTCACAGACACATCCAAAGTGGTGACCATTACTATACCAGATGTTTCTTTTTAAAAATATTTTTATTTTAATGTGTGTGTGTGTGTGTGTGTGTGTGTATTGCCTCTGTGTATGCAAATGTACCCGTGTTGTGCAAAGCCTGCAAAGATCAGAAGAGGGCTTTGGATCCCCTGGAACTGGAGTTACAGATGGTTGTTAGCCACCATGTAGATGCTGGGAATTGAACTTGGGCCCTCTGCAAGAGCAGCTAGTGCTCTTAACTGCTGAGCCATCACTCCAGCCCCCTAAACATATCACTTTCAACCATAACATCTCATCCCTGGCCCCTAAAGTTTCATGTTAATCTTATAACACAATATATTTAGTCCACTTCTGAGTTCTGAAAGTCTTGATAGTCCACCACTATTCCAAAGTCCAAAGTCTCTTCTGAGACTCAAGGCAATCTTTTAATTCTGAGCCTCTGTAAAATCAAAGAGGCATTAATCAATTGGATGATGGTTTAAGAATGGGCAAATAGAACAATAGGACAGAATACAATATGTAGAAACAGGTGTATAGATTATGAGGAATTGATTTATGACAAAGTTGAGACAGAGAGTCAAAGAGGAGATGCTGATCTTTTAAAATAAAACTATAGAGAAAAATAATGGATAGCTGGGGTTTGAGCTGTAGCTCAGTGGTAGAGCACTTACTTACTGTGCACAAGGCACTGGGTTCAATCCCCAGTACTATAAAAATACTGGTTAGATGGATCACATCAGAAGAACTGCAGTATATCAAAAGACATCTATATTAAGAATGAAGAGGCAAGGGCTGGAGAGATGGTTCAGTGGCTAAGAGCACTGGCTGTTCTTGCAGAAGACCTGGGTTCAGATCCCAACACCCACATGGCAGCTAAAAACTGTTCACAAAAAACTGTTTGCAACTCCAGTTCCAGGGGATCCAATGCCCTCTTCTGTCTGCCAAGGGCGTTACATGACACAGGTATACTTACACACATTCAGGCATAACACTCATATACATAAAGAAAGAAAGAATGAAGAGGCAAGCCACAGTGGTAAAAGATGTTGAAAACATTACACTGAGAAAGGAATTGATAAAGGAATCCAAATTAACAAAGACTTAGAAAAGATGGGGTAGATTTAAGCATGTCACCCAAAAGGTTGTCCAAATGTTCAACTAACATTTGAGAAGGTGTTTGGTTTCCTTAATGAGTTTATTGTTAATCAGAGAGTGCAAAGTAAAGCCGTACTACATATTCTGCAAATGCACTCAATCTCAAGTGCAGGTGAGAATGTGGACTATGCCTGGAGATAGTTCAGTGGGCAAGAGTGCTTACTGTGTAGACATGAGGACCTGGGTTTAGATTCCCAGCACCCATGTAAAAAAGCTGGATGTGGCCACATTCACCTGTAACTGCAGCGCTGTAGGGGCTGAGACAGGTGGATCACTGGGGCACTGGCTACCAGCCTAACTCTAGATTCAGTGAGAGATCCTGTCTGAAGGGAATAAGACAGTGATGGAGAGGACACCCAATGTCCTCTAGTGTGCACATACCACACACACACACACACACACACACACACACACGAATGTTTATTGCAATATAAATTCATACTGAAGAGAGAAGTGTAAATTGGTGTTACTTTTAAAGGCAATTTGATTTTATTTATTAACATTTAATATACTATGATCCAGCAATTCTAGGAATATACTACCAGAAAAGTGCACACAGTTGAAGATGTGTCAAGAATGTTTATAGCATCATTCCCTACAATAGCCCCAAACTAATGTCAAACCAAATGTCCACTAATAGTTGAAAAGTAAACAAATTTTGATACTTTTATGCAATAGAATATTATATAATAATAAAACTGTGGCTATTTGTAGCAATATGAGTGACTCACAATGCTTAACAAAAGAATTAACACATATGCAAAAAAGCCTCTATATAGTGTGATTTCATTTCTATGAAACACCCCCAAATTTTAGTTACTTATAAGGAGGAGAGGCCAGGACTAGGGTGACAGAGGGACTCCTGGTATACAAGTTAAAGTGTATCTTTGTCCTGAATTATTACATAGATTTAGTTTGGGATCATTTAATGACTTATACACTTAAGATTTGTTCATTTTTTATATGTTTGCATAGTTCAGCTAAATAGCTAAAACACAGCTGGACTTTTTAAAAGGTTGTAAAATTAAGGAAAAATAATAGCCATCATTTAATGCGACAAAATATTAGGTAGTGTATAGGATGGACCTGCGCCCCTTTCCTTCATTGGAGGCAAGCTCTTTTCTCGAGTTTCTAAAGACAGGCAACGTTTATACATGTATTTATCTATATGTAGCACCAACCCCTCAGAACAGTCTATAAAAGACTGAAAATAATGTTGCAGAATGACTGAGATATTTGATTCCCGGTTAGTAGATCCTGAGTGCCAAGAAAGGGTTTAGAGGTGGAATTAGAGGCAGCATCACCACACTTCCCTCATACTTCCATTAAGGTTTTCCATTCAGACCAGGGTAACTTATTATAACAACTTGAAGTCACTTTTTAAAATGTCATATATTTTTGATAGAACCTACATATAGTTTCCTAGTAAGTCAGCAAGTATATTTATTTGATTAGATTGTTAGAAATACTGGATGGACATTTTTAGTAATTAGAAATAGATTTGGCTTCTATTCTGGATGTTTCCTCAGTAGTTAGTCCTTGTTATAAGATTTTTGATTGTTTTACACTTGCCTAGGTTTTCTTCTCCAGTCATTTAGATAACATACTTACACGGAAGAAAAGCGGTACAGGATGTGGTTCATGTTTAGTATTTAGTATCTCTTACTTCACATTTGTATTTATCTATATGGATGTGCATGTATGTATTTACACAAAATTTAGTAGTAGACAGATGGTTCAAGGAAAAGGTAGATTAGATTGTCTTGACAGGTGCACAGATTGATAAAAAGGGAGACACAGAGGACTGAAGAGTCCAATATAAAATTTAAAAACCTGTTCTTATAGTCATGTAGTTATTATTCCACAAATATCTGTTGAATTTCTTAAATTTGCAAAGCTGTTCAAGGCATTGGCAAGAAAATAAATCAGATATGAACTTATATTCTAACACAAGAAACGAGCAAATCACACAATTATTCCATGACAGTTGTGATGAGTGCTGTGGAAGGAGCTGAGCTACTGAAACATGAAGTACATAAAGAATTAAAGTGTGTCATGGGGCTGCAGAGATGCCTCAGCTGTTAATAGCACTCGCTGCTGTGGCAGAGGACCAGAGCTCAGTTCCCAGCACCATGTCAGGCAGCTCACAACCACCTATAACTCCAGCTCCAAGGGACCCAAAACCCTCTTCTGGCTTCTGGTGGCATCTACGTATGCCTCCTGCATAAATAAAAATAAAAACAAATTTTTTAAAAAAGAAAGTATGGGGCTGGAGAGATGGCTCAGCGGTTAAGAACACTGGCTATTCTTGCAGAAGACGTGGGTTGGAATCTCAGCACCCACATGGCAGCTAACAACTGTCTGTACCTCCAGTTCCAAGGGATCCGACAGCCTCTTCTGTCCTCCTTGGGCATTGCATGACAAGGGTCCACTTACCTACATGCAGGCAATACACACACATACACATACAATAAAAACAATAAACTATTTTTTAAAAAATAAATAAAAAGAAAGATGTAAGTCGGGGATCAAAGGAAAATATATTTGAGTTGATTTCAATTGTTGGTGATAGAGAATGGGAGAAGTACGATTCTGGTGTATTGCATGAACGATTGAGGAACGTCTTGGTAGAAAGGAATATAATATATCCAAACGCTGAGAAGGTCGGCACTACTTGTATGAGTGGTCGAATGGTCTTTTATAGGGTTGGGGTGGGGAGGCAAGGACAATAAGCATGTAAAGACGTAAACTGTGTTAATAATTTTGTGGGTTTTTTCCCCAAGTAATTGCAGAATACCATTAAAGGGTCTTAAGCATCCATCCAATGTAAGAATTAGGCTGGGAATGTAGAAAGAATGTTGGTCTGACAATTGGAGCTACACTACCCAGGCCCTTGAGGAAGTTACGCCTTTTGGATGAGCCTCCTCCTCCTGCAAAAATGATGGGTTTGGGCTAGATCAGAACTAAAGTTTTCTTCAGCGCTGTAATTCTATATAAACGTCTCACGTATTCAAAGTCAAAATGTCAGTTACAGGTCTTCTTGATAAACTCTTCCCAGATCTGCATGACGGGGCCATCATTTAATCTATGTAATGGACTAGTACTGAAGCTTATCTCAAGAAAGGAGGTGGAAATCTTCAAGGGAAGTGGCAGTGGTAACCAGAAGGAAGGTTAAGTGGAATCAATGTTTACCGCATCACGAAAGTAAGCAAAAGAGGACAAGTTCAGCTCATCAATAACATGTAGCTTGAAGGCGGCTAGTGTCAGTCAAAAGAAGCTTAGGGACGAGAAGGGATTATTAACAAGCCTCATCTTCAGTCAGTAGCTCACTTCCTCAATCGTTTGACACGGTGATACTCTTGGAGCTAAGGTGCAGGGAGGAGGAGGCCGGGTCCTGTACTCTCTGCCCGGCTCCCTCAGGTCTCAGGGACGCCGGCTTCCCCTTCTCCATCTCACTCACGGTCGGGCTCTGACTCTCACCGGAAGCGCCCACCTAGGGCTCCAAACGGGAGGGTTCTGGGTATCTTCCTCTTCTTCACCCCCTCTTGCTGGAGATTCTGGAGAAAAACAGGTAGACGCAAGCAGAGGGCTACAAACTTCCCGCGGATGGCGTCGAGGCGGGCCGTAAAGAGAAACGGACCGGAAATGCCGGTTGCCTTAGCTACCGATGTGGCCAGCCTCTTCCCCATCTAATCCTCCTTGGATACTTGTGCTCTGTTTTTACGAGACCAGAATAGAAACAGAACGAGGAAGTGCTGACGCACTGGGCTCCCACAAGTACTACCCGAAGCTAGACCGACCAAGGCTCCCCCATTTGGGAGGAGGACCAGACCGGAAATGATGGTTTCTATGGTAACCCCTGAGTGGGTTGCCTGGGAGATGACCCCTTTTGGTCTCTTTGAATCTCTGCTGTAGCATTACCTGGAAGGAGGATCTAACATCCTGGACTGTCTCCTGCCATGATTCCCGGGAAATACCGCGCAGTTTCTGGCCGGGCTGCAAACAACGTAGGTTGGGCCTTCCTGATTTTTCTTCCTTTTCAGTGGGGATTGTCCTTTCTGACTGAGTCTTTGTCCTGGGCGATGGGCTGCATTATTGGGACCAGGACCGCGGGGTTTCCCCAACCTATTGTTCGTGGGCTATACCAAAGTGGGAGAGCATTTCCGTATTGTGCGGTGGCTATTTAAAGTCTTGTCCACCACCTGAGCTTCCCAGGAGTTGGAGCTGATCTGTTATGCAATCATTTGGATTCCTTTATTATTTTTTTTCCTATTCTTTAAAAAAAAAAAAATCGGGAAAGGAACCTATTCTTGAAGACACGCCCACCTACTTCTTTTGAGCATTGACTGGCAAGTGAAATGACAGGGACCTAAGGTGGGTTAAATTGGTGCCTCAGACATTTTGAAAAATAAATCAATGAAACCTTTAATTCTTGGAATGTGATCTTACTGCTTTTGCAAATCCTCAGAACATGATTATTTACTAGAAACAAAGATGGAGCTTTCTGTTATGATCTAATTTTTGTTATCTTTGCACCATTTTGTGTGTGGGGATATGTACATATTTGTGTATTATAAGGACAAATTTTGTGATTTAATGTTTACATTTTAGGTGAACTGTGGGCTTCATCTGGTCATTCAAACAGCATCACTTTCTGACAAAAACAAAGTAAGATTTCAGATTTATCTTTAAATTGAAAATAACTTGTCATATATTCTATACAAATAGTAGCATGGTTTAAAAAATAGAGTCTGACCTGGAAACTAGGTATGTTTGTTTTGGTCTTCATTGTAAAGCTGATTTGATTTTCTACATAAAGCCAAAAATACCCCTCTTTTAACAATTCCATGTCATCCCATTTCTTACAAGAGTCATTTTTGGACATATAAACCTTTCTGGTGAAGATATTTCTTGAAACTGGTTGTGTATCCTAATTCAATTAGGAAATAGCTTTATTTGTTAGACATAGGTAAGATAATGAAGGTGTTCTACTAGTGGCATCACAGAAAGGATACAATGTGCCAGTTTGGGAGGGCCTCGCTCTGCATTTCCTCTAAAACCAGGAAGAAAAGCTAGTTTATCAGTGGAAATTTTGTTCGGCTTACTGTTAGAATGTTTTCATAATGTTATGGGTGTAAGATTCTTTTTCCCTATACCATTCACCTGTAAAATCTTGGACATTTCCAGAATGTCTGGCTTTTTATTTGAATTTTTAGGTCATGTTTTCTTCCTTTTCTGTCTCACCTTAGCATTTGCTCAACCTCCTGTACTATTCATAGGTGTAAGCACACAATACAACATTTCTTCCTTAAATCAAATTGCACACCTCCAACCATTGTAATTCAGTTTTTCCTTAAAATGTTGTGAAATAGACGTCACTGGAAGAGCTCTAAGATGAGCGTTTATAAATGAAGACAGTAAAAAAGGGCCAGAGGAAGGTGAACCAAGGACCGCTAATTACGAGGCTGCAGCCCATTACATTATGTGTTTATGTGAAGTGGTGAACACTTCCTTGTCTGACTCTCCTGGCTTCATCCGTTAATAGTCTCTCATAGCAGCTAGGTTAAATGAAAAATACTCCTTATTATAATTGGGCATAATGGCATCTGCTAAAACTTTCCTTATTTGCCAGGTAAATCCTATCCTATTTCAACCCTTTTTAGGAATTTTGTGTTTCTTCGACATCCTTTCTGTAATATTCACTTTCTTTTGTAGATATACCTAAGAAAATACTGTTAGTTTGTATCATTCATGAGGATGTAATGCAAATGCTGGTGTGGGTGAAAGAGAAACATGTAAGTCATTTAAGATAGAGTTTATGGCTAATCATAAGAAGTTCTGGTTTGGTTTTGTTCAGTTCTACTCTGAGATAATTATTTAAAACAAACAGTTCTTAAATACACAATTTTAGTCTGTTATGAGATATTTACAGGAACTGAAAAAGTCAAAACACAGTAAAACATTTCTAACATCATTTAGCTTTTATTGTGAGCCTTTCGTTTTTACTGAGTAAATGATTCTTTTAATGTTGTATTTGTGGTGATTGTATGGAGAGATAGGAAGTGCTTTTATCTGATCTTGTGAAACTGACCCTGATTTTATGTTTGGAAAAGCACACCTGACATACCCTTTCCAGCTTAGCTTGTTTTCAAGCTCACCACTCAGTGACATTAAGCATATTCAGAGTGTTGTGCATCTAAGACCTCTGTTTAGTTCTAGAACATGTCCTTTCTGTTTCTCTGGATTTTCCACTGTGGGTATTCCATAGAATTGGAACCATACAATGTTTGACCCTTTGCATTTGGCTTCTTTCACTTAGCATGATGTTTTCAAGGTTCATCATTTTTTTAAAACATATTGTTATGTGCTATTTTATACTTAAAGTCATTGGTTGCTGTTAATTTCTTTCTCCAATTTTTTTCTTAAATAATGTTTTTCAGGTTGAATTCAAGCTTAATAGAGAAACACCGCCATTTCCTGGTAGACTGTTACAACATGACCTTGAAAGGAATTATGCAAGTAGGCAAGGTATCGTCAGTGAGTAGAGAGCAGATTTGTCTTCTTTAAACAATGTTGTTCAATATTCTTGAATTACTACAGCCAAATAAACTTGAAGTACAAAGTTAAATGGTTCATTGCTTACAAAATTGGCTTGATATTTGCTTAAATCAGAATGTATCGTAGTGTATTATTACCAATGCATTAAAAGCTGTTGTTTCAATTTGAAAGACAGCTACAGTGGAGATAGGAAAATGTTCTAAGTACTGTATTAGAACTAGAAAGAAGCATTAATAAGTAAAACTGAGGGCATGGGGACACAAGTAGTTTGACAGTAAGGAAGCAGTGGGAACTCAGGAGTAGAAAAGATGTAATTGCAGGTATTTTATCATCAGAAACCTTAAGCTTGGTGTGGCTTACTTGGAATCTTATTCCAAATGCCTATTCTTAGTGCTTCGCTTCCCTCTTCCCCATTCTGATTTTGTAGGTTTGGGGTGGCATTTGAAACTGTGCACTTTAACAATGCCATAGGGATTCTGACAGACCTTGCTTGAGGATCACCCTTAGATAAAAGCTGGGTGATCTGATTTGGTTGTATTTCTGAAATATGCTTTTAAAATCAAGCTCAAATCTCCTTCAGAACATTTGACTCTTGATTGGTTGCTCACTGTGTGATGTGCTCGATTTAAACACTATGAATCCTTATATACAGCCTTGCCTCTGCCTCCCCAGAGCAGTTGCTCTCTGCATCTTCACCCACAAATATGCTTTTTGATGCTCTGGTTTTGTGTCTTGTGCCTCAGCCCTTGTGTATGAGAGGGCTTATCAGTAGAGGCCCCTGGGTTCATTTAGTTACTGTATCAACCCAAGACAGTATTGACTGTTTCTTTTTGGTACTTCAGGGCCTTCTTCTTTCCCGTTTCCTGTACCACATCTTGGCCAATCACTGAAATTGACACCAGCCCAGCTGTAGTTCCACAGTGCAAGAAGCACCTGTCTCGTCTCTTTTAGTCACCGCTGTTTAGCATGTGTCCTGTGTTCTTACCACTGTTTTGGCACAGAGCTGTAGATGCCAACCTGAACATTCTTAGAGGAGATTTAAAAATGTCTTCCTTATGAATTTCTTTCATATTTTTAATAATAATATCTTAATTTCTCCCTCAACCATGAATCTAACTTACATACTTTCCTAAAGCATTTCTTGAGTTAAAGTAAGGGATTAGTGCAGAAATTTATGTTCGGAAGATTAGGTAAATTTGTTTAAGTGATAAAGTATTGCTAGATGTTTGCTAAAGATGAAATAGTGTGGATGGATCGATTTTGTGAATCTGAGAGACAAAGTTTTGTGTATGAATCATGATCCAGAGAATACAAATTGAAAATAAATTTAGGAAAAACAAAATTGAATTGGCTTTTAAATATTTCTCTGGAAGTCATTCTGTGGTAGGACTCATTTGTCCCTGTGTAGACCTGGCTGTTTTTAATCTGCCTCTTCATTAGTTCTAGGCATTATTATGTAAAAGAAAGCCACGCAAGTTTTAAGCATTATCTTGACTTCTATACTCAATTTTCTACAACCAAGAGCATAAAACTCTGGGAAAATTTTAGTAGAATTTTGTCAGGAAAAGTGTGGAGCCCTCTGGAGTGTGATAAGCCACACTCTCATATCTACTCCATTGTGATTCATTTCACTCCATTTCCTAGTAACCAAACATATAAGCTATCAGCACAAATTAACGAATGATACTCTTGGTCAAAATGAAAGATACTTGATTTTTTAAGCTAGTTAGTCTAAACCTTGACATGTGATTTCTTCTTGGCTTTTTGGAATAGTGCTAAGTGTCAGCCCCTGTACCCTTGAGATTTTGTTAGAGAGAAATGTTCCAGGGACTTTACAGTTACAATAAAATCTCATCAAATCCCTTAATTTTTTTTTTTTGTCTTTTTGAGACAGGGTCTCCTTGTAGCCCCAGCTGTCCTGGAACTCACTATGTAGACCAGGCTGGTCTTGAACTCACAAAGATCTGCCTGCCTCTGCCTCCCGAGTGCTGGGATTAAAGATGTGTGCCACCATGCCTGGCCAAATCCCTTAATTTTAATTTGGGGGCTAGAGAGATGATTCAGTGGTTAAGAGCACTTCTTGCTCTTACCTCTGTGCAGGCAAGCACTCATATACATAGAATAAAAATAAATCTTTTTTAAAAAGAATTTTCGGGTTGTAGAGATAGCTCACTGGTTAAGAGCACTAGCTGCTCTTGCAGAGGACTGGGTTCAGTCCCAGCACCCACATGGTGGCTAACAACCATTTGTGATTCCAGTTCCAGGGGATCTGGCGCCATCTTCTGGCCTCCACAGGCATTGCTTGCATATGGAGCACCTACATATACATGCACAGAAAACACATACTGTAAAGACAAATAAGCTTTTTAAAATTAAAATATGTGTATGGAGGAGGAGAGGTAATGCTTGGCTCCTAATATCATAAAAAACTACTGGAAAATCTAGTCAGGATTTTGGTCACCAAAACATTCTCAAAGATGAGGCTGAATGGATATACACATCACTGTGCCATACCACCCCTCACACACACAGCACTGTACCACACCACCTTTCACATACACAGGGCATGTGTGGTACAGTGCTCTGTGAATCCACTCAGCTTTATCTTTATCCTCTTTGGCTGACCTTATCAGCTAACCCTTAAACTGCAGTTAATCTTTGGACCGTTTGTTTGCTTGTTTGTTCGTTTTAAAGCATGTGACTTTTGATTCCACACCAGTTTACTGGGTCCTGTTGCTTGGGTATCCTGCCAGCAAGTGATCATGTCCTTTAATTTTTATTGGCGAAGACGGTGTAAATTCTAAATGCTCACCTGCCAGCAAGTGGTCCTGTCATTGAATATTTATTTGGTGTAGATTTTAAGTGCTCACCTCTTAGAATATCATTATTGACTGTCTTGATATTTCATGTTATTCAGAGAGTAAGGTGTGAGTACTGTGAAAGAAGCTAGTAGTGAGATGCTTTATAGCCTTGCAGACCTGGAAAGGCTAGCAGGTACTATTCCTTCTGGCTTTAGTAAGCCCTGTGTGTCACTTGATTGCAAGTTGCTACCAGATCTTTAGTGACCTTCCAGGGTGTGTCAGCTTGCAGGGCTTGAGTTCTTCCTGTTGAAGAGCAGAGCTCTGTGGTGGCCTGGGTTCTGCTGTCCTGCTTGTTGCTCTCAAGAACTTCCTTGCCAAGACCGCTGCTTGTGGTAGGCTTCAGATTGTCACTTTTCACTCAGTACTCAAATCTTACCTCCCTTTCTGAAACTTCTCATCATATCTTCTAGACCATTCTGCATTCTTCTGGTTCTTTAGACTGTGTCTGAATACCTGCCTCTTCCCAAACCCACCTGTAACCATCTCCATTAATAACTGCAAACCAGACACACACACAGTTAGATGCATTGCTCTGTCCTGCTCTGCACATTGTTCCAGCGCATTCATTTCCTGTGTTTTTCTGCTAGATGAAAAAGTTCTTACTATCAGAGACATCTAACCAACAGCCTGTAAACATGGCAGGTGGCATATACTCTCTGGCCCTAACTACCAGGATTCTAGGTTTATTGACATCCACTTCAGTCTTTGCAACATTCTCTACTAACTGTAGCTGAATACACAGAAGGAAAAAGATGACATGAGGTTTACATCTGCTGTCCGAGACTACTTTCTGTGCATATACCATAGGTAAGTCATGTATGATGTAGCTTTGTGATAAACTTTTTGATATTTTGAAGGAGATGGAAGAGTAATAAGTCCTTCGCCTCGTAATAAATCATCATGCATCTCATCCACAACAAACGTGACAGAACTGTATGGGCTGGACATGAGAACTGCTACCAGCTCCTTGTCAGCATTTGGCAACTCTTCCATTCAGACATCGTCAAAGCCCAGAATCCGGCAGGGCTGTCATAGTGCTGGCCCCAATGTATCTGGTAATGAGGGTCTATCATAAGAAAGTTGGTCTGTAGCATCAGGAGTCAGAATTGTAAAGGGATAAAGGCAGCATTACTGTAGTTCTGCATTTTCACACATTCTTTAAGGCAAGGGAAAACTATTTAGCATACATAGAACACATAGTTTAGAGTTGAGGAAAAAGGAAACATACTCCAGCTTAATGATTAATTTCAAATATGGAAAGCTTTGGGAACATCCTAGAAAAGATTTATAGACTCCAAAATTCTTCAAATATACGGTGACTATAGTTTCAAGATGGTAAAGGTTTGTCTTAATCAAGTAATTTGTATATCATTCTCAATAGGTGACCATATTAATTTGGTGAGCTCATCAATGCCGTCATTTCCTATTCTCCAACGTTCCTCTGAAGAGAAAATTCTTTACTCAGACAGGTTGACCCTAGAAAGGTGAGGACCATTTCTTTTCTCTTTTTGATGAAGTAATACATGGACATGGTATAAGTGTGGAAAGGTGTGAAAGTCTGTCTCCACCCACCTTCTCTCCCACCTATCTGGTTCTCCTATCTAAAAATAATCTTTTAAATAACCATTTTCAAATTTATCCTTCTTGAGGTATGGGGAAGATTATAACTATATATAAAAAGCACTTGGCTGTATTTTAAAGGAGTGATAGTACTTCCAAAGTATAATGATGTTGGTCAGCTTTTCAGTACTATAACAAAGGTACTTTTGCACTGTGTTTTGGCTCACATTTTAGATGGCGTCAGCCCATGGTCACTTGGCCCCATTGCCTTGGGGCCTGTGGTGAGGCAGTAAATCATGGTGCGGGTATACAGCACAGCAAGCCCTACACCTGTACCACATGGAAGAAAAGACGTGAAAGAGAAATAGGAAGTGGCTCTTTCAGGGCTACGCCCTCAGTGACCTAAGACCTTGCATTGGCATCACCTCCCACGGACTCCATCACTAACAGGCTGGGACTGAGGACTAAGCCTTAATGCATTGACCTCTGGTAGACTTCACCACTGACTGATAGGTTGGGACTGGAAACCAAGCCTTAACATGTTGATTGACCTTCATGGGACGTTTATCCAAACCATAGCGATGACACTGGTGAAATGGATTTTGAAGAGAAAAATACAGTACTGGTGAAATGGATTTTGAAGAGAAAAATACAGTACAGTCCCTCCAGGCTTACTGAGCCCTGTCAGGATCTCCCTGTTACCTCACTGGCCTCCTTTCTTCTCTGCTCGGGCCACACCTACCTCTCTGCACTTCCTAGAAGGCTACAGGCTGTTTACCCTCAGGGCTTTAGTACTTGCCAGCCTACCTCCTGGAAAGCTGCTCCTCCTGGAATTGTCTGTGGGCTCACTCACTTGTTTCCTTCTGGTCCTCCTCCAGACCCCTATCCCAGGAATGCCACCTTCACATTCCGCAGAGCCTTTTTCTGCCTCATTTTCCCCATTAGTTATTACCATCCTCTAACTTGGTTACTTTTGTTTATTGTCTGTGCCCTTCTACGAGAATTATGAGCTTCACAAACAGTGATTTTGTTCAATTCTGTATTCCAAGTACTAGAACAGAGCCTAATACAAAGTAGGCCCCTAATTTAAAAAAAATTATGAGTGAGTAGCCATTTTTAAGACTTCACATCCTTTTCATTTAGGAAGGAATCCATAATGGGATAGTGAATGTTGGATCCCAACAGACCATCTCTGCTATGCGTACCTTCATCTTAGCAGGGCATACCTGATGCATGATGGTGGACCTTCTGTGTGTAGTCTGGGCAAAGCTTTGTATAGAGTCCCACCTGCTGTTCTGGGCCAGAGTTCTATTTGAGAGCAACATCTTTCATGACAGGTGTGGAAAAGGAATGGATTTTGAAGTTTTCATACTAAGTACTATCTTGTATTTATAACTTCCCCTGTAGCATTTTAAGGTTTTGAGGAATTTTGTGATCTCCCCTTCAGTCTTTAAAAACATAGGCCAGAGTAATACCTCAGTCTTATGTTTCTTGACATTAACAGGAGCCACATTCGTAAGACTGTGACTTAAGTTAGGTACTTCTGCTGTACAGCTTGGGGGTCATTTGAGCAACTGTAAAGATGAGTTTTGGGCAGCATGGGCCTCGAAAGTAGAGAAGCAAAATTTTATCAGTAAACACTTTCTTAGCAAGAATACCAGAACCGAGGAAACTAACTCCTTCAGAAGCTGACTGTGAAACGGTGACATCACAAAGATGTCATAGGCTTAAACACAGTCCTTGACCAGAGCCAGTATATGCAGTCAGGAAAGTTGGGCCAGCAGCTAGGAACTAACTGAGGAATGAATCATTGTTTGACGCCAGTGGGTAATGGCAGTGATTTCTGCTGCTTGGTGTAGTTTCTTGGTTAGGGGACTGGGGGTTCAAGGGTAGAGCCCAGCCCTAAGAGCAAACACTTGGCTGTCGCTGTTGGAAGTAGGCCTGGAGTAGCAGAAAGGCTGCCTGTTACTCCCAGGAAGGAAAAAAGCAAAAATAGGGTCCAGTACACGTGTCAGTAACATGGCAGATGTGTTGACCCAGGGCTCCTCTAGGTGTATCAGAGCTCCCCTGCAGAGCACTAGACTGTTGCCACTTAGGTTTGGCTCCTTGTTTGTTTTGATAGAGTGACAAGGATTCATGGGGTTTAGAGAAATCAGCCATTGTATTTGGGATCCAGAAAGTGCCTTTATTTCAAGCCACAGCAGTTTGTGGAAGTGGAGGGCAGGAGGGTGTTTTCCCGTGTGTGATAACCGATTTAGAAACTGGAAGTCAAGGTGTATCAGTTTAACTGTGAGAAACAGAGGCAGACTGAAGTAGGAAAAGAGCAACAGTTAAAGTTTCTGCTAAGTGCAAGGATATAAACTTTAAACTACTGTTTTCATAATCAATCATTATAATTTACGAATCAGGAGTATCAACCATGAGAGTGTGATGCGTGAGAGGTATTCTAAATGTCATCCACCACTAAAATGATTAAATTGTTGCATGATAGTTTTTGCTTCTCTTCGGAGTCATTTTCTTCAGGGCCCATATCTTTAAAATATCCTATCTTTGCCAACTATTAGCTCACTTATTTTTTCCTGCTAACCAATCTTGTTTTCATTATAAGAAAAATTCCGATCACTCTCATAGTTTGGCTTATGCTTGTGGCATTCTGACTTATTGTCTTTGACGCTTCCATTACTTTGACTTTTCCTGAAGGGAAGTACTTCTAATGATTCATCCTAATATTGTTTATATGGAAATAGAGCTTATTTCCTTGCAGATTTCCTTTGCATCTCAGCTTACAATCACTCAGCACCTCCTGACTGGCTTCTTACTACATGGGTGGGATTCTTCAAGGACCTTGCACTTTTTTACTTCTCCTATGAAGTATTCCCACTTTTTGCATAGAAGAGGCTGACTGTTTTACATATAGCTAAATGTATGTAGTATTAAGGTTTCATCCTACTTTGTAGCACCCTGAATGTTCTGGACAGTTCAAAGTCTGTGTTGAATAATTGACCCTACACCTGACCTGAGGAAATGTTCAGTAAGGATTACCTTACAATTAAGGTATTGCATAATGAGTTTTTTTCATCATAGTGTCTATACTTATAAATGGCTGGATTTCTTATCTCAAGAAAATTTTATGAGTCAATGATTACAAAAGAAACCCTTTAGTATGGTTATTGCTCTCATGATGTAGTTGCTTGGAGAAGTTTTTACATCAGTGACTAATACCAAAGCCTTTTTAATGATTCATGACATGGTTTGACAGTTGTATTTGAAAGTTTTCTGATGTGGATTTTATGCAAAATAATTGATATTGGAGACCTTTTTAAAAAATGCAACGAAAGCTTAGACTTAACTTTAGTAGTCTTGTCAAGTGTATTTTTTGTGTGTGCAAAATTTACAATTAAACTTAGGTCACATATCTGGGATTGGGAAGTGGTCCAATTTTTCTTTATCTCATCATGGCCTGGGGTCACAAAGATACTATTAATAGTATTTGAAAGAGGAAAAAGGCTGCTGGATCTGAATCTTAGTAACTGTAATTTTTTTCTTCTAGGCAGAAGTTGACTGTGTGTCCTATAATCGATGGGGAAGAACATCTTCGTTTGTTAAACTTTCAACACAATTTTATAACTCGGATCCAAAATATTTCTAATCTACAGAGGCTCATATTCTTGGACTTATATGATAACCAAATTGAAGAAATTAGTGGACTTTCTACTCTGAGATCTCTCCGTGTCCTTCTCTTGGGGAAAAACAGGTATTCACTGGAGAAGAGTTTTTATTTTCTTGTGTGTGTGTCCACATGGTGTGTGCAGAGGCTGGAAGAGGACTTGGGGTGTTGTGCTCTGTCACTCTTGCCTTATTCTTTGGAGGCAGGTCTCTCACTAAACCTGGAGCTTGTTTTTCATTTTTGTGATTATTTCTTGTTTTGGGCGGCTAAGCTAGCTAGCCAGCAAGCCCCCAGGATAAGTCCTGGCTCTGCCCTTGCCATGCTGCAATCATAGGTACACACTGCTGGGTCTGGCTTTTGTATGGGTGTCAGTTCTTCACTCCTGCAAAGCAAGTCCTCATATCTATTGCATCACCTCCCCAGCTCCTATAGGGCAGTTCTTGCTTGTGGCCTGATAGATCCATATAGTGTTGAGATGGTAACCCACACTTGAGAATACCTTAGGAGTTACCAGACTAAAAATCAATGTGACTCAGTGGCAGAACACTTGCCCAGCATGCATGAGACCCTGGGTTTAACATCTAGCACTGGAAAAAAAAACAATTATAATTTGTTTTATGGAATTCGGGTTCACATTTTTGTTGCCATTACTTTAGTGCCACGTCTTGTATAAAGTAAGTGGAAGATTTCGGCTTTAACTCTATGATCTGGTAGTGTATGTTTTAGGCAGGCGTACTCAACTTAGGAACACATGTCTCACCTGACATGCTCCTTAGTGTTTGACTGGGGGTAGACACTCTATTTTGTGATTGCGCAATCAGTGTTTGATTCTTTTTCAGAGAGTAGTTTCAGTGTGTTTTATTTAAAGATTTAAAAAAATTTTTATGTGTGCATGCAATGCCAATGGAGGCCGGAAGAGGCGTGGATCCCCAGGAGGTGGAATTATAGGCGGTTCTCTGCAAGAGCGGCTAATACTCTTAACTCCTGAACCATCTGTCCAGCCGCTCAGCATGCTTTATCTAGTAGTGTGCCGTGCATGTATTCTTCCCCAGTTCCTGCTCTACAGCTCTCTCAGGTAGCATAGCTGCAGAGTGCCTCACTGCCTTCCCTGAGATTATCATTACCTTTTGTTCCGTTTGACTCAATAGCTTTTGCAGTACCTTAAAAGAAGTCTTGTTTAACGACGTCTAAAAATTAGTGATATCTTTTTTTTCACTCTTTGCAAGGTTCATAGCTGACAACCTGCTAACGGGTCCAATTTGTAAGACAAAAGCATAGCACAATTAAATAACTTTTACGTGCCATGGTTGTCATCTTCAGATATGAAGACCCAAATAAACAGAGAAAACTTTATGTTTTTATTCTTAGGTTTGAGGGCTAGTGGACAGTCATGGAGCCATGATTAGACCAAAGGGGGTTTGACCTAATGGCAGTGATCCAGAGAACTAGCAAGTCCTGTCTGTAGTTCTGCCTGTGTTTCTGTGCTTTCATTCCTTTCTTCTGGCTATAGGGCAGAACTCATCTGGATTGAGGGTCTTAGGACTTGCTTTCAGGGGCTGTAGGTCAGAGGATTCTTTTTATAGCCTTAGGGGAGAAAGGAGGGAAGGCAGAATGACCTTCCTGTCTCTCCAGTTTTCCCACTTTATCCCAAGTTACTTACTATGCTGAAGTGCTGTGTTTAGAATGTTGTGTTCCTCGCTTGGTGCTGTATTTCCAAGGTCATGTCCCAGAGTTCTAGGTGATGCTTTTTCCCTGATGTGTCTCTGAAAGTTTCCATCAGTGCAGTTTATTAGTTCAGATGTTACAGTAAGAATTGCATAGTTTGAAAGCCAGGCGTGGTGGCACACACCTTTAATTCCAGCAATCAGGAGGTGGAGGCAAGCAGATTTCCATGAGATCAAGACCAGCCTGGTCTATATAGCAAGTTGCAGGCCAACTGGGGCTACAGAGAGACACTGACTAAAAAAACCCCAAACAAACAAAAAACAAAACAAAAAAAAAAAACCCAAAAATAAAAACAAAAAAAACAAAAACAAAAAAGAATTGTGTAGTTTGAAAGAATTGGAGAATTACAGAATCAGAGGGTATTCAAGTTTGAAGTGACCTGAGAAATAAGCCCTTTCATTTTACAGGTACAGAAATATGAAGCGAATGGATTTGGTGAAGTCAGCAGTGTAGAAATGATGTCACACTTCAGGAGACTGTTCAGAGCAGTTCACTGAGAGAGCAAAGGGGGAGCCGTCCTGCCCCTTTAAGGCCCTCCCCCCATGCTCCGCCTCAGCTTTCCCAGACTTGTCTGTTCTCTGATTCTCAGTCATCCATGTCTTTGTCCAGCTCATGTGTGTTCGTTAGTACCATTGCTTCATGTCTCCCTTTTTATCCTTAGGCCAAGGTATTTTCTAGAGATACTTGCAGTCTCCAGCTCTAACTTTAAACAGCACTCAGATGTAGCCGACTGGCACCAGAGATCTGGGGCCTTTGAAGATGCAGAGCTTTCCTCAGTACTTGAGTGGGCAAGAGGCAAGGTGAAGGCTGGGCGGGATGGAAGCTTCCTATGTGTTCTGGTTGAGTTGCTGCCCTCTGCTGGTCAAACCCACACAGACTCCCCCAGCTTCTGTTGAAAATAACTGCATCACCTTAGCCCACGCAGTGGAATCATGTCGTTAGGGACCAGGGCAAAGAAGCTTCTAGGTGACAGCCTGGACAGAGATGTTGGCTCTGAAGCGTCTTCAGTGCCTTTCTCTCTTTCAGTCCTTGAGGTCTGTGTGTCATGTATATTAGTACGAAGAATCTCCAGTTCCACTTTGTGTTGAAGTTTTGCAGTCTAGTCTTTCTACTTTACTGTCCTCTGCTTATCCTTTTGGGATTTTCTGGTGTCCGCATTACCTCATGAATAAACCTCTGTGTCTTTCTCTGATCCTTCAGGACTATGGAGATAGTCCTCTCTGCTGGACCCTGGGCTTATTCATTGCTTTTCTTTTAATGTTAAAGTTTCTCACTTATCTCTGACAACTGAAAGGCAGCTCTTCAGCAGGTTGGGTAGTGGGATCTTTATGCTAGTGTCAGCAACATTGTGTCTGGCCTACAAGGATGGGCTGAGATATATCCCTGGAGGCCTACTGCTGCTAAAGTGATGGGGAGCCTGATTCTGCTCTAGTTCAGTTTCTGTTCAAGAGAATTATTTTTTGAAGTCACATTGGTGTTCATGTAAAATTTCTTGGCCACTTGGCAACTGATGAGGGTTTGCAAATTCCTTACACTGTTACCTAATCTGACCAGTGGCCATCTAGGTCAACTGACAGCTTCATCTGCCTCTGAGTTATTTAAATTGGGCCCATTTCTAGGTTGCATCAAGTGCTGGTAGTGGGGAGAGAATCTATGGCAACGATAACGACAGCACAAGACGTTTCACTGCTCCTGAGTTTTACTTATGGCGTGACCAGCCTGCTTTCTTCCTGTTCAGTAGGAAGTTGGAATCTGCAGTGAGAGTCATACAGTGACTGTCAAAGCAGAGGAGGAGTGTGTGTGCAGCCCTGGTGGGATCCATTATACAACTCGTTGCACATGAAAGCTTTCAATGATTTAAATGTCTTAAAATTGGTCAGGAATTCTGATAACTATACACATAGATTGCATTGATCCTCTAGATCAGAGTGCTTTGGGCTAAGACAATTTTGCAATTCTAATATGTAATTTGTAAAATGTTAAAAATATAATTCTGGGGGCTGAGAGATGGCTCAGTGGTTAAGAGCACTGACTGCTTTTACACAAGACTGGGGTTCTAATGGGCGGCTAATGACCCTGTATAACTCCAGTTCCAGGAGACTCCGACGCCCTCTTCTGACTTCTGTGGGCATTGCATGACATAGGTACACTTACATACATTCAGGCAATACACTCATATACATGCAAAACAAATAAATCAAATATTAAAAAAATAGAATTCTGAGGCTGGGGATATGGTTCAATGGGTATAGTACTTACTGTATAATCATCAGGATCTGAGTTCAGATCCTGAGCCACCCTTGTAAAAATGTCAGGTGTGGTAGTATATACATGTAACCCCAGTGCCGGGAAGCAGAGATGGGCAGATCCTGGGGAATTGCTGGCCAGCCATTGTAGCCAAAGTGCTGAGCTCCAGATTTGGTGAGAGACTCTGTCTCAAAAATTAAGGTGGAAAAATGATTTGAGGAAGACATCCTGACACCAGCATGTGGCCTCTACATGCATCCACATGGGAAAGTACACTCTCCCATACACACATGCACACATGCATCCCCCGGCAACACACTCAAAAAGGACACCATAAGCTGGGTGTGGTGGCTCACACCTTTAATTCCAGCACTTGGGAGGCAGAAACAGGTGGATCTCTGTGAAATCAAGGCCATTCTGGTCTACATAGAAAGTTCTAGGCCACCTGAGGCTACAGAGAGACCCTGTCTCAAAAAACAAAAACAAAAAAGTAGAATTGCTTTTCTCTAAAGATAAAAATGCATTTTGTGCATCTTTCCCCATAATAGCACTAAGTATGTAGAGAGAGGGAGAGCAAGTAATGGGTAATTGCACCTTAGTGCCTTAGCATGCTTAGACTTATTGATACATGTGCTATCTCTGTACTTCTACTGAGTTTATTCTAATAATGCTGATTTTCAGAATTAAGAAGATCTCAAATCTGGAGAATCTAAAAAATTTAGATGTCTTGGACCTTCATGGAAATCAGGTATTGTACAGCCTTCTTTTTTCCTTCCTCCCTCCCTCCCTCTCTCCCTTCCTTCCTCCCTTCCTTTTTCCCTTCCTTCCTTCTTTTCTTCTTCCCTCCCTCCCTTCCTCCCTCCCTTCTCCCCCGACCTCTTTTTGAGACAGGGTCTTCCTGTAGCCCCAGCTGGCCTGGAACTCTCTATGTCCTACCAGGCTGGCCTTGATCTCACAGAGATTCACCTGCCTCTGCTACTGGGATTAAAGGCATGTGTCACCATACCCAGCACCTCTCTTTCTCTCTGTCACTCTCTTTTTGTCTCTCTCTGTCTCCCCCCTCTCCATCCCTTCTTTTCTCCTTCCTTTCTTTTTGAAAACAGGTCAAGGAAATTTGGTATTATAGGTGTTTCAAAAATCATACTTGCATTGACTTAAGAGTTACTTTACTGATTCATTGAAATTTGTGAGGCATTAAACCATTTATGCAAGACTTTGTAACTTTTTAGAAGTAAACCAAAGGTGAAGCTTGTGAGTCCTCTGGAATTATTATAGTCAGGACAACTTTTTAATTGAGTTTTAAAAAGAACTTACTTTTATGATTCATTGCATCCAACCCTGACTCAAGAGCTAGACTGTGCGGGACTTTCTTCTACCAGATGTTTCTCCTTGCTTCATCAGGGGAGTTCATGCTTGTGGAGTTTTAATTGATTTGATCATAGTAAGGAATTGTTATTTTACACTGTTTTTAAAACTATCATTATAGGGGAAATGTTTTATGGCAGTCATTTTTATTGAGATTATTTGACTGTGAGCAATAAGAAACATATTTGTGTGCTTCTCAATTAACAGCGTATTTATGAACTCATAGCACCGCCAGGGACTTCTGGTGCCCTGTGTGAATGGACGCCATTTCATTTGTTCTTTTGTCATTCCCAGGCATGATTTGCCTTCTGTTAGAGTAATATAAAGTATTGTATTCCTTTCTGTTCTCGCACCATATTATGCATCTTAGCATCTTGTGATGGTCTCTGTGTTAAGACTAAACATTTGTAATATATGAATTAATTCTTAAGATTCTGTAGTTAAAAGGTGGAAGTTTTAAATGGGAATCACTTGAGTCTTTTTTCAAAATACCCAGATCCAACAGGCAAAAATTTGGAGTATTTCAGAGCAAAAGCGAACAGTCTTACTGATACTAGATTTCTAAAAAATCAGGAGATAAACTATTCAAGACAAAACATTTAGTTCAAAAAATTTAGCACCAGGATGGTGAGATGACTCAGCAGGTGAAAGCACTTGCTGCCAAATCTGACAATCTGAGTTCTGCCTCGGAGACTCACAAGGTGGATGAAGAAAACTGGTTCCCATTTGTTGTCTTCTGACCTCGACACCTATACACCTATGCTATGTCATGGCATGCAAACACACACACACACACACACACACACACACACACACACAAAGAGAGATAGAAAATGAAATAAATTAAAATTTAGCATCAAATAGTAACAAAAAACTGAAATTAAGTGAACGTTTTTTGATTGGAAATAAAAATTACTTAGTGAATGTTATGCTATTAAGCACAATTTTCTTATGAATATAAACATTCTAAGGAATGGTGATTGTATTCAGGAAATTGATAGGAGAATGGAAAGAGATGGAAAGAGATGGAAAGAGGAGAACCGTTCTCTGGGTACAGAAAAGTTGACAGACTAGTTACCATAGTTAGTGAGAAGTGTAATGCAGCATTTATGTGGTGGCGGTAGATATCTACTAAGGGGAGATGAACATATAAACAGGATCATCACAAAAGCAATTGGTATGAGAGTCATGGTGATGACAGGAATCTGGAGGTCGACTCTCATTTCTGATCCAGATTTCATGCTGGTTTATCAAATTTTGTTTTCTTAGAGACGCTTCAAGAGGATACAAATGTGTTTCTGGAATAGTCTGCTCTTTCAGTAATAGCTTTCCCAGAGAGGACATGCCCTTCCTGTGGTTGGCAGACATTTGCTTATTGCTAACAGGGACAACTGTCTATCCAGGCAGAGTAGCATGGCTTACTCTTAAAACTGGAGCACCCAGCCTTCCTGGGTGTGCTAAGAAGCTCTGAGGTCTGTCTGGGGACTCTTTCTAATCAGTGTGGCTCATAATTGAGTTTTCTCCCCAATATCCCCATCGTATTTTATTTTCTTCTTTCCACGAAGTAGACCAATCACAATGTATGTGTTCTTAATACTCCCTTTGCCAAAAGCTTTTGACATTTGCCCTGTGCTTGTGACTTTGCCCATGGCTAATGAATATGGATATTCCACCAGTGGTTGTGACATGGAGTTGCAATTCAAGAAACCAATATCCCTAGTGATTTATTAACGTTATAGGTTAATACCTATGTACAACAACTAACGGTGTTTCTTTCCAGAGTTTCCAAAGTAGAAAGTAACAGAAAAATACAGGAATTGTGGTTTCACATCCCACAGGTCTATGTGAAATTGGGCAAGGGCAGTTTCTAAAGAAGAAATGTTCAGGATTCTAAGCTGAAGGGAGAAGACAGCCTCTATATGTGCATTAGTCAGGTTTAATTCATGAAAATAAAACACCCAACATAAGCTACTTGCATAGTGGAGGTTTGTGTCTGCTCATGAAGGTTCAGGTCCATTTTGAGCTCCTGGCAAAGACAGGAAACAAGTTGGAGGGAATGTTCCCATGTTCAACCAAGAAGCAGAGTGAGAGAAGGTGGGTTGGGGACCCATAACTCCCTTCGGGGGCAGCTGTAATGATCTGAGACCTTCCTCCAGGCCCCACCTCTTAGTACTCAGCACCTCCAATTCCTCCACCTTGGGAACCAAGCCTTTACGTGGGGCCTGTCAGGGTGCTGACGCACCCCCAGCAGCCCTTCCTCCTGTGTCTTTGTATCTGTTATGAGCCCACAGAGCTTTGGTTCCTGTGTTCAAACCTTGATTCTTCTCCTCTGTTTGTTATAAGGCTTCTCCCCAATCATATCTTGTCATTCATTTTTCCTATTTCTACTTTTCTTTAGTATTTTGGGAGAATTTTTCAAGTTTGTGTTGGCATTATTTCTTCTTGGAGTCTATGCTGCAATTTTATTAAGTCCATAGTGTCAAATTATATTGCATATTTAGTGTCAAAATGTTTTAGTCTGAGTCTTCTTGTACAATTCTACCAGCAACAGGAACCTGTAATATCATGATTTATTTTCCAATTTTCATATAATTTCCCTTCATTTTAAATCAACTAGATCAAAACTCTTGGTACAAATTTAAACATGGTCACAGATGTTGCCTTCAAAAATCATTCAATTTACCATACATGGGTATGTTTAACTTCTTGAACCTATAAAGAATCTCCATGATATTTTTTAAGTGTGAAGAGTCCACGTAACATGGAAACTGTATCATGAATCTAAAAATAAATTCTTTAGAAAACATGCTTTGAGGGGTTAGATTTTTTTTTTAATTCAGACTGCTATGGTACAACAAATAAGCAGATTCTCTCTACTGATGGTTAAATTTATTCTTTTAAAAATATTTGCTATTGTGTGTGTGTTCAGGTGCACCTGGAGGCCAGAAGAAGGCTCTGGACCTTTAGGAGTTGGAGTTACAGGCAGTTGTGTGCTACCTGACAATGGGTGCTGAGAACTGAAACTCAGGTCCTCTGAAAGAGCAACAAGCGCTCCTAACTGTGGAACCAGCTCCCGCCCCTGAAATTTATTCTTTTAATGCTCAGGAGAAAAGTGTTTTGTGCACGAACATCTTAGGGTGTTCTGTTAAGAGGTTATGAGAATCCCTGCTTGGGTTCCGTAGAAGCCCATCCTGCTGTTCTGTTGTGTGATGATAATGGGATTCAAAATCATGTTGGACTCTGCCCTTAACAAGAACTCAGGCTCCTCTGTAGTCAGTACTTCTGCACCTGTTCAGATTCCCCATCCAAGCCCTTCTGTTGGAATCCTCAGTGTCCGCCACGTCGTACCCCGACTGAGCCCTGCCTTCTGCATTAAGTCTCCTCATACAGAGTATCCATCTTTCCCTCCCGGTGGGATCCCAGGTCCATGAGCTTTTCCTTCAGAATCCATTTAAAAAAATTTTTTTGGATTTATTTTTATTTAATGTTATCAGTGTATTGCCTGCATGTGTGTGAGTGCTCCTGTGTCATGCAATGCCCTGGGAGGTCAGAAGAGGGCAACTGGAGTTGCAGATGGTTGTTAGGCATCCTATGGGTGCTGAGAATGGAGCCTGAGTCCTCTGCAAGAGCAGCCAGTGCTCTTAACACTGAACCACCTCTCCAGCCCCTCCTTCAGAGCGTTTGACTGCTCTCAGGATCCTGGCAATTTGCTATCAGTCCTTTCCTTTGCCTTTCCTCAGAGAGGACTGGCTTGCCTTGTCAGAACATTGTGAGCTTATTATGCCTCATGCTCAAAGTCAGTTTCTACATGACAGGATGGAGACATCATAAGACCTTGGCAAATGGACTCATTGATTATTTGATGAAATTTACTTTAAATATTTATTATGGTCAAACTGTCTAATGGGAGCCATTAACTAATTTTTTCTAAGTTTAATGACTTCATATGATTTACAGTATAAGAAACTTAAATGGTCTTTATATAAACTTGTCATTAAATCTGATTCGAATATTTTATTTTTATTTTTTACAACATATGTATGTTAATCATGCCACCCCTATTTTTTTTTAACAGATTACCAAAATTGAAAATGTCAATCATTTGTGTGATTTGAGAGTATTGAATCTTGCCAGGAACCTTTTAAGCCATGTGGACAATCTTAATGGGCTGGATTCCCTAACTGAACTTAACCTTCGACACAATCAGATCACCTTTGTGGTGAGTACCGAAGTGCACCAGAGATGTGCTTTCTGTCTTTTCTCTGAAGGCAGCGAGATCAGTGTTACATTATGGCTTTGTGTAATGTTGGCGTCTGAAGTTACTTAGCTTCTTTCTGATTTTAAATTGTGAATATAATTACTAAGTTTTGTGATGCATTGGTTTGGAAAGAAAGTTTCTATTTTAAGAGAGAAATATAAAATTAGAAGTGATGGAAGTATGATCTCTAAATGGATCAGCTGGTATAAACGAACAGAGCCGGCTTCCTTTTTGTCATGGTATTGAATTAGAAGGGAAGGCTATTGGTGAATGACAGCTGAGGAGTTACTGCAGCAGGAGACTTGGAGGGTGTGGACCAGTGAGTGTGCCTCAGTTTTGTTAAGGAGGCAGTGGTAGAGTGGAAAGGGAGTTGCACAGGGCAGCGGAGGCCTACTTCTGGTCTCAGCTTCACCTCCAATCAGTTGTGTGACCTTGGGGACGTCACTGTAACTTTCTGGGCTCCATTGTCCTTTGCCTGTCTTTTGGTTTGTTGATTTGAAAAAGGACAAAAAAGATTCAGAACTAGCATGTGAACTGGAATAAAAGTATTAGACTGTGGGGGCCAAAAAGAAGCCTAAATTCCTAGACAGATTCCATTAGATTTATAGTTTTGCTGGAAATCAGCAAGTAAATACCAGCTCAATGCTGAGGTGTTTTGTGTTCATACAGAGGTGGAAGATACTAGAAATACATATGTTCAGCTCTATGGTGTGATGCCAGCCTATCAGACTTGTCATAATTTATTAACACTATGTGTCTTTTAGCAACTTCCCTTTGTTTCAACCCTGTAGAAAAAAATGCATTTGGCTCTCTTGTTATCACCTGAGTGCTTTTAAAGGCATGGTCTAACTCAACTTTTCCAAGACATTGAATTCCTTAGTAAAGAACTGAGTATGTTCTGAGTCACGAAAATGTTGGGGGACAGATGATGCCCCATTTCTCAGCTTCATTGTATAGATTGCTTTTAGTTTGAATTTTACCAGAAAATCAGATCAAGCTAGCTTATGTTTGCTAGGAGATTAAGATCGTTCCAGAACCTTTTCCAAGACATGAATTTACTACAGAATTTCTACATCATGTTAAGTCCTCCCAAAACTGGATATAAATGTTAGAGTTAGGTTGTTTGTTTGAAAAGCTGTCCAGATTGGATTCATCTGCTGTGCTGCTGAGTTCACAAACTGCTCAGTCAGACTTAGTCTGTCTTTAGGACACTGATGCTGTGGAGCATCCAAAAAGCTTTGGTACAGTTGGGGAGCAGAAATCTGTTGGCTGAGCATATTGCTTCCTGGATTTTGGCTTTCCTTTGCAAAGTATGCAGCTTACTGGGAAACTTACTCATTTGATTTTTCATGAGAGTTATCTCTGCTCATGACCGTTATGTGGGGGCAGCAGTCGCATCTTATAGAAAAGGGAACTCTATCAATGTCCAAAACTTCAAAAGACAACAGCATGATGCACAAATCTTTAATAATGATAAGTATAGTGCATGTTAATTACAGGAAATTGTGACTATACATGTAAGAAAATAAGAGACTTCATTCAACTCTTTAGTTCATATCTTTTCTAAAGCATCGTTTTTTTAATTCTTTTTTTAAACAGGGTCTCCCTATAGCCCCAGATGGCCTGGAACTTGATATGTAGACCAGGCTGGCCTCAATCTCAGAGAGATCTGCCTGCCTCTGCCTCCCGATAGTGCTGGGATTAAAGGCATACACCACCATGCCTGGCTTTTTAAAGCACCTTTTTCTTTAAAAAATCTAAAAGATTTTAAAATCTGAGGATGCATATTTCTCTTTCATCTTTTCTTGTCCTTGGTGTCAATTATTACATTTATTTACTTTTTTTGAGGGGGTGTTGGAGGCAAGACAGGGTCTCACAGAGTCCAGGCTGGCCTCAAACTCCCTCTGCAGCCAAGGATAACCTTATCCTGTTGCCTCCACTTCTCAAGTGTTGGGTTTGGAGATATGTACCACTACACTTGATATCTTTCTGCTTTTTTGTGGCTTTGATTTTCTTCAATGGCTGGAATCTTTAAATGAAACTCCATATTAGGTAGTGATGGGGAGTTTTGTGCAGTTGAATAGGCCTTTTTAGCCGTAGGGTCTCTCAAGTAATTACTAGTTATGTAACTTGTAGAATCACATGCATAGGACTCACTGGGGCAAATGGAAGAGCAAATGCTGGCTCACTCAGTAACTGCGAAAACAAGAAAGATTTTACTTTGGGGCATAGAAGGACTTTGTTTCTTTTGTGCCAAGTGAAACTGCCATTTCTCCCCATCCCTCAGATTCTGTTGTGGTGGTTACCAGGCTACCAACCATCTTCAGCGATGAAGCACCATGCTCCATCTCAAACTTACAAATAGTACATTTTCTTTGGAGAACAAGTTCTGAGGCTCCAGCTGAGGGCTCCTTCAGCCATGTGTTCTGTACCCGCTTATGCGCAGGATAGAGTGGGAGCTGGTAGGGTTATTGATATTCCAGAAATCACTGTTAAGGAGATGGTTGTTTAATTACACACCCACCTAATTTGCCTCCTTTACTGTAGCCCATGCCAGGTCTAGACAGCATGACTGCTATGGCCTCCCATCAGAAGGATGTGCATCAAGTGTGGCATCTCTCCTGCACTTTCCAGCTGCAGTCTTTCTGCTCAGTCTGTCTGTCTCTAGTAAAATCCCACCAGTTTCCTGAAATTTATCCAAAATGTCTGTTAGTGACAACTCTTGATTTCTGAGAATTTATTCATATGTGTCTCTGTTGCTTCCTGAGCAGAATCTTAAAAAGGAAGTGACATGAGCACATGCCCTACGTGACCATGGTGAACAGAAACCTCCTGTCATGTTTTCCAAGTCAAAAAGTTGTTCCTTTGACTTTCTCTTCTTGGAAATTTCATAAACGTCAAGCTAAATATCTTTTCAGATTCTGTGGTGTCTTTACCTTTTTACAAATTTTGAGTTAGGGGCTCAGACCTGTAATCCTAGCTATTGGGAGCCTAAAGCAGGAGATTGCCATGAGTTCAAGGCCAGATGAGACTATGTAGTAGGTTTTAGATCAGCATGGGCTAAGAGTGAGACATAGCCTCAAAAAAAAAAAAAAAATCACAGAATACCCAAAATAAGAGGAAATAGCACTATGGACGTTTGTGTAGCCCTCCTAGCCCTCAGTCAACTTACTGTAGAGAAGTATGCATGGGTTATGTTCTGTTGATAAAGAGTAGCAGGAAGCTACTCTTCCTTTAATCTGAAAGAGTAGCTGAGTCTGTCACATCGTTGATATTTGTGCAGAGCACTAGGCTGCCAGTTGGTAGACTGTCTCTCTGTCTGGACCCAATGGTGTTTCCTTGTCATTAGACTCAGCTGGTGCAGGTAGCCAGCCATTCAGAAGGAAACCTTTTCCTCATCAAGAATGCACAACTTTTTTAAAAATGCAATCCAAGAATTTGTATTTAATCCAGAGATTTAGTCCATGATGCTGTCTGCGGTTACTGGTTATGTTTGAACTGATGGTCTTGTGTCATTCCGTGCTTCCCGTGTGTCCTTGTATCCTGCTTTTCTTGTGCTTCTCTCTTGGTTTTTGTATCCTATTTGGGGGTTAATAGAGTTTTCTCTCTCCAGTCTTATTTACTTTAACAGTTATCTTTAAAGTACACACGACTTAAATCATAGAATTAACATACAACTCTATCCTCATATAAGTTCCTTAGACTCATTTAATTGAGTAATCTCTCCCCATCTTACATGTTTAGGTTATCTAGTGTTTTCTTTTTAACTTTTAAAAAAATTTATTTATTATTTTTATTTTATGTGTGAGTATATTGCCTGCATGTATGTGAGTGCACCTGTGTCGTGCAGTACCGCAGAGGTCAGAAGAGGGCTTTGGATTCCCCTGGAACTATGGTTAAGGACAGTTCGTAGCCACCATGTGGGTGCTGGGAATCGAACTCGGGTCCTCTGCAAGAGGAGTCAGTGCTCTTAACCGCTGAGCCATCTCTCCAGCCCCTTCTTTTAACTTTTATCCCCAAATCACAGTGCTTATCTGCATTCACCTGCATGTGTATTTCTGCATGTCGGACTTTCCTTTTCCAAGTCATCACTTATAAAATTTCCTCTGAGCTGCTCATAACAACTATGTTTTTATTTGTTGACTTGGTAGGGCCCTGACTTTTCCCAGTGTCTCGTGTTTATATTCCATTGTCTGAGCTTCTGTTAAAGTCGTTAAAATTGAAATGCCTGCTAGCTCTTTTTTTTCTGAGACTGGATCTTTTTTTCTTTTTGTGGCTGCTTTTAATGCTATAAGATTTCTTTTGAAGCCTTTCAGCTTGCTGTCACGTATTTAAATGAGATGCTGTCATGTTTCACCAATTTGAGATACACATTTTTCCATATTTCAACAAATCTGAAGTCTGGCCTTATAGTCTACGGAATCTTAAATTCATTCTTGGACAAGGGACTAGAGAGATGACTTAGTGGTCAAAAAGTGTGTACTGTTTCTGCAAAGAATCCAAGTTGGGTTCCCAGCACCCACATTGGGTGACTTAAACCACCAGCTCCAGAGGATCCGGCACCTCTGGCCTCCAAGACACGTGCACTTACATGCACAAACCCACACACAGGTATACATGTACACACAGAATTTTTAAAATCTTAAAAAGATTCCTCTTGGACAGGATATAGAAATTTTATTTCATATATATATATATATATAAACTTGGTTATATCCTAGACTATTGTAATTTTAATTGTTAATAGTACATGTTGAGTTACATTACATTTCAGAATTTTAAAAAATTATACTATATTTGGTATTGAAATGAAACATTTTTCTGTCCTCAAAAGGTACAGAAATAAAGCAGTGAAAACCTAAACTGAATGTTAGTGGAACTAATATTTTTCAATGGAAATGACTGTGATTCCATCTGTTCTTATAATTAACAACCAAACATTGTGAAAGGAATGGCTCCAT